ACAATCTCACACACTCAGACATACACACTACAAATTACAATCACTTTTTTTTTAAATCCACCCAGTCTCCCTACCTTACAAGAACTGGAGTGGAACCTCAGCCTGGGGTCCAGTGCGGGCTGCTGTGCTGTGATGGAGCTCCATCCATATGTGCATCCACTTGTACAGCTCTCTTGCACACCCTGTAGAGGTGTCAGGAGCCAGAATGTGACATCACTCCGGTCCAGGCACCTCTACAGAACACGCAAGGGAGCTGTAAGCAATGCACTGATGGATGAAACTCCCTGATAGCCATAGCTCTAGCCCACCCCACCTCAAGCTGACACTCCGCACCGGGCAGTATATTTTGAATGGCTTTTCAGCAAAGGAACTGACATTGCTGCACTAAGGGGAGGCTCACCTATAAAAGTGGAAGGCACACAACTACCCATTGAACACAGGGTCGCAACCACCAGTTGAGAACCGAGGGTGTAAGGGACCTACTCAAAGCTGCACACACGTAGACAATTAAATAAAATGTAGTGTACATGGCATATATATATATAGCAATTGCATAGATGTGTTTGTAAATATAGTTGTGATTTTGACTTTATAAGCAATCATTTAACAGATGTCTGCTTGCTTTCTGCACAAGAAGAATTTATTTTATCAGGAAGATAAAGTTATTCATGGCTGCTGCCCTCATTTTTTCTGCCTATTCTTTCCCCTAAAATGTTGGTAGTATAAACTAATGTTTATATAAATTACTTGTGATAATTGCCCATTACAGTTTAGTTTCTAGTAAATAAACCTCAGGAAATTCAGCTGATATTTGGTCCATGGGCTGCTTAAGGTAATTGTAGTATTAGTGCTCTATAGCAACAACACAGTGTAAGGGTCCGTTCAGACCGAATCTGTTGGCATCTGTTTTTCAACGTATGCCAACGGAAGGTAACCTGAAAGATGTATGGGGGTGAATGGGTCTAGTTTACATTGCTTCACTCCATTGTGTTGCAGCGACAACAATTTATGTAATTGCAACAGAACGGAATTAAAGAAAAAAAAAAACCCATAGATATTCGTCCACTCAGGGCATGTTCATTAAAATAAAGATTGGCAAAAAAATTAAATTGGTAAAGAAATCTAAAAAGAGGCAAGGGAATTAAATGTAACAGAAGTCAACGGAAGTTGAAATTGCAAATCAATGGACCTCTGTTGACTTCTGTTTTCGGTCTGATCTTGGTGTGAATGGGCCCTAAAAGTATCATGGACAGTACTCAACTATGTTGCTTCAATCACTGTCTAGCAGGTAACAGACTTTAAAATGGGCTTTTTAATTCCTTACTAGGTCACTGGAGGAGCTCATGGTCTCCATTCTGGAGAAGAGGCTTTTCCTCTGTCAATGCTGTCCTCTGGGTAAATCAGCAATCTATACTGGTGTTTTGAACATGTAAAAGGTCATTTTTGCTGTGTTGTGGTTGTACATCACTAGAATATGTCTGTGTTTTTATGTTTAGCTGGGTTTTTACTGTCCTTCAGAATTTTCACAATTCCTGCAGGTCAGCAAGAAGAACCATAGTGGCCAGTGGGGGGAAACCTGTTTTTGACCAGCCCAATGAGCTGAATGGGATTAAGTCAGGGAACTCTGCTACAGAGTAATATGTTAGCAAACATACCGACAGATGGGTATGCATAATGCTGCTTTATTTTCTCTGCAAATAATGAATCCTTTAGGACTTTTTCCAAGCATTACAGTGAACACTTGCTTACCCTGGTCTGGATCAGTATAGCACCTATCTTCACTTTCATAACTGGAGATATCATGCCATGGGAACCGACAAGCTGTCAGCTATCCTTGGGCTCTAATGCCATGACTAGGCCTGGCTATATGGAGACATTGCTCTTGCCTCCTGGAAGGTTTTCTGAACATCAAAACTGTGACCCACTCTTATTGGTGTTAAATTGGTACCACTGCTGCGATGTCAGACTACTACAAGACCACAGCTTACATCAGTTGTAGTGACCATATAGTAATAAGTATCACACACATTGTAAAATTAGTAGTTCCTACATAGTTGTAATTGTAGGGCTTCTCATTATTCCTCACTAAATAATGAAACCCCCTCACTATCTGCAATACACACTATCTACTAAGTGTCTATGGCAATTCCTGTTAATTGTATCTGTACACAGGTGAAACTCGAATAATTAGGCTGGGCACACACCTTACAACCATCGCAAGACTTTTGTCTTGCGATGGTTGTAAGGTACTTAAAAAAACGTACGATCTGCCTATGTTGCATAGGCAGATCGTACTTGCGATGATCGCAAGCCACGCCCCCTGAGGGGCGGGCTTCCGATGACCGCAATGCCGAAAGGGCAGTGTGCGCTTGCGCACACCGGCCCGTGCGGCTGTTATCGTACGGACATGCCACAAACCCGCCGAACATCGTACGATGCTCGGCGGGTTTTCAAACATGTCCGTAAGTTTAAAGTCGTGCGACCTTACAGTAGTAGAGGTCGCACGGCTTCCACACACCTTACGAACATCGTACGATCGCGGGATTTCCCGCGATTATCGTACGATAATCGTAAGGTGTGTAGGGACCCTTAGAATACAAGTGCTGCAAAGTGCTGCAAAAGGGGCCCAAACCAAGTACTGAGTACATATGCATGCTTGTACTTTTCAGAGGTCCGATATTGTTCTATGTACAATCCTTGTTTTATTGATTGCATGTAATAATCTACTTTTTTGAGGTTGTGGATTTGGGGTTCTTGGGGTTTTCATAAGCTGTAAGCCATAATCATCACAATTATGACAAATCACGGCTTGAATTATCTTGCTTTGCATGTAATGAGTCTATCTCATATATTAGTTTCACCTTTTAAGTGGCATTAGTGAAATAAATGAACTTTGCACGATATTCTAATTATTCGAGTTTCACCTGTATACTATACAATTAAAGTCTGACGCTGGATCATGTCACCAATTGTCAAAGTAAGTCCCATGCCAATGAAAACACAACTACTTTTAAAATGATCATTTGCCTGAACATTGCTGGAGTTTTGCAAGTTTCAGGAAGGACTATTCACCCAAATATGTCTAACTCGCAATGTCTGACTGTCCATCTGCCCCAGTCTGTCAAGGTCTGGAAGTCTACGTCCACCAGTCACATCCAGTGCTCATTATTTTCTGTCTATATAAAGAAAAGTTTATAAATATACTTAGCCTCCCATTGAACTACTTGTGAATCATGATACTCTTCTATCCTTATTTCTTATTGTGGGATTTTCGGCAGCAACAAGAAATGGCTCTGTTAAGTTACTACAATAAGTGTGTGCCATTTCCCTCTGCATTTAATTTATCACTGATCATCACTTCTACGACCAGTTTTGCACTCTACAAAGATTATGATTCTTTATGATTAGAATATGTGTTCATGCTGCTAAAGACACAGATGTAAAAAACCTACACATACTATGCAGTTCTGTTGGATCCAACATTACACTGGATGCTCCAGATGTCTATATTTAATCCTTTGTCAGGTAAAGCTGGGTGCTTTTAGCTTTGCTGGCCCAACTGAATAGTGTTATGTTCTTGTGGAATAATTTAAGAATGTCTAATCACTTGCACAGAATGGAAATGGGGATGTAAAATGCCATATTACACAGCCTAATAAACCCTTTTGAATGTGCATGAATTATTTTAGATACATACTCACTTTGAACACAATATATTTTTTGGGGGAGAAATTGTTACCTTACTAAATAAAACAGTTGTAGGAGTAACTCTGCCTAGGTTTTTCATACATAGGTGTACATACTTTAATTTATTCTGCATTTTTTAATGCTTTTTTTTTTACCTCTGTCGCTTGACATACAGAGTCCACCAGGTATTTTTAAGCCCAATAAATAAATATACAATCACTAATTATTACAGTAACAAGGCCTAGTGGGAAAGTGCAGAAATACATTGGCTGAAATTTACTGTAGGACAAGCTAGCAGTTGGTAAAACATACAGGAATTAAAAGGTTACTTTAAAGATTAAAACTTGTCATTTATTTATGTTTCCAGAATATAATGCTGGATTACAATGCAGAACATAGAGAAGAGGCCTACAGTGAGGTGGATGGCACTAAAATGAGGTGAAGGGATTAGTTTTTTTAAATCCTTACCACATGCTTGGATATCTGATGTGAACACAGGTACACTTCACCTCATATTACACCTAATAGAGAAGTAAAGCCAAACATGTTTTTGCTTTACTTCTCTTTCAGGCACAGGAATACATTTGCTAATGTACGTTTGTGACCCAAAATCAGCAGAGCCGTGCCACAGCTGGGTAGGATCCTGATAATGTTGGCAGGATACCACTCGGCTGCCTGATTGACAGCTGGCTTCACCTCTCTAATGCCAGAGCAAGCTGTGCCCGCCCATCCCCTCCCCTGTCTGTCCCTCCATGGGTGCTAGAGAGGGGGGGGGGGGGGGGGGGGTTTTTCCCCCCTCGGTCTGCCCCCCGGGGGGGGGAGAGAGGGGGGGGGGGGGGGGGCTCTCGGTATAGAGTTGGCATGTTTATATTTTACTTTCTCAATACTTCTCCTTTAAGTAAATTACACAATATTAAGATTTATTCCGACTAATTGTTCTTAGTTAAAAATGTGATAAAGGAAAACATTTTTCAAAAATTTATTTATACACTAGGCACACAGATTCTATATTTTTCTATGTACTCCCATGTTCTTTATAACAACATAAATCATTAACTCGTAGAGTCAACCCGTTCCGAAGTTTAGACACAGTCATTCAGTACTACCGTAGTTAGTTATATGTTAATTACAGCAGCTACATTGTGTCCTTTTTTCGATAAAACACAAGCAAATAATGAAAGCAGCTCCATTAATTACAGGTTTTATATGTGTGAGAATCACTTACAAGTTTGCTCTATCACACATTATTAAGTACATATTGTATTTCAGGAAGCTGAAAGCCGTCACAATACATTGGAATAGGGAACACTCACTTGTTTGGATGATACAAAAGAAAAATATCCAACTTTTCCCGGCCATCTCTCCAGGAGCTCCGGACTGCGCCCTCCCCAAGTTTCTTCTAAGAAAGAGACTGTTATATTCCAGCAGTTCTCTTATGAAAAGGTGTTTGGTGATCATGCCTGCTCCCTGCTGGCCAGGTTCCACATCAAGGAGTGTTTGACTAAAGGGCAAAGAGGAGCTGGTAGATGGAAAACACCAGGGAAAAATGGCTAAACTCATCTCGGCTTTCAGCTTCCTGAAATACAATATGTACTTAATAATGTGTGATAGAGCAAACTTGTATATACATGGGTAAGCAGATTACAAACAAAAACCTACATTTGTTTTATATACATTAAAGATAAAATTTAATCTGAAGACCAACAAATGTAAAAAAAAAAGCCACAATTTGCATAACTGCATGAAAAGTGTGAGACCCGAGGCATATAAAAGCTTTCCTGGTACCTGATGGAAATGTTCTGGCTTGCTTGTTTATATTTTACTATAATATACGTATGTACATAATACATTGTATACGCAAGAGATTAACTGGACAGTTTGTGCTTTCTCTTGTTACTACATGAACTCCTAACTTCAGCATGATGGCACTAATAATGAACCAGTGCTCACTTGTTTTCGAGCCCAGACTTGGGGCTGTCATCCTGATCCTCGCTCCACTACCTATCAAGTTACTCCTGAAGGTTATGGAATCGGCTATCATCTATCCTGGACCTGCCCTTGTGCCAAAAAGGGTCCCTTAAAAACCTTATTTTACACAGTAAAAAAGTAAAATAACAGTTTTAAGCAACAATACAAATCACAACGAAATGCTCTAAAAAAGGAGTTCAAAAAACAAATACAAAAAACCTGGTAGAATGCTAAGTTCAGTTAGAAGACACTGGAGCACAAACACCAATACAGCAGTTTGTTAACATTTCCTGTATGTTTCATAGTACTTTGATTTACTGTGCAGTTGACTACATGAACATATTTTTCCAGGGTCAGTGTTCAGCCCCCAGGACAGTACTATAACTGTTTCCTTGCTGAGGACTGCTTTGGTGTATATGACTCATACAGCAGCATAGGGACAGTGCTTTTGACTAGGATGAAATACATTTAATGTGGCATATCATTACTGTACTGCTAACTGCTCAATTACTTTGTATGCATGCTGCATGCTCATTTACAATAATCAGTTATGTTGACAGCTTTATTTTTTTTAATATCACAAATATATTTACAAAATTTAGGACTGTGATACATTGAAAATGTAATACATTTTGCTTAGAGTAGATCTAAACCCTGAACTGTTTTGACATTCACTTTGCTGAAGCACAGTGTATCATATACAATTGCCATGATCTGAAAAATTCTGCTTCTTTAAATTGATAATCGTCAATTTAGAGACTTATTTTTTGCATTGTAAGTACGGTTTATTTAATATCATCTGGAGTTTTTTTATGCTATTTATCGTTATTTATTTATTTTAGCGCTGAGCACTATGTGTTACTAATGCTTTTTATCTTACCTGTAAAATCTGTTTATTGGATGTCGGGGGTTAATGCTACAATCAATAGATTATGCAGCTATCGTCAGGTAATTAGACACTGGTAAATCAAAGCTGAAAGGATAGGCCTGTATAACCCCTACCGCTCCCAGACTGCCATATTTTTGTAGCAACAAGTAAAAGAGTAGATCACAAAAATCTAGTTTTCTTGTCAGTATCACAGGACACAGGGACTAAATTCTATAACTAATGGGACATCCAGAAGTAGTATAATAGATAGGAAGCTGGCAATGGCTAGCAGGACCGTGAAATGCACAAACAATCTCACCCTGGAACTATAATAGAAGGGGCCCACAGTTTAGAGGACCATCTGAAGAAACTTGCGACCGAAGTTGGCATCCTTTGAAACCTGAATGTCCACCTGGTAAAACTTGACAAAAGTGTAAACAGAGCAGCAAGAGAAACTTTACCCTTTAGTTTATAGTGATAGTTTGATGAATCCATCTAGTGACAGATGGTTCTGCCAACAAACCTGTCCAGTTTCTTGTTGAACCTGGATGATATGAGGTCCACGTCTGGTGAAGCCCACTTGCAAACAAAGGACTCAAAACACCACCGGGTGAGGGGACCATTCACTGGGGTCCAGATGTTGGTGACTGAAGTCCATCTGTCTGTCAATTTTTACACACAGCCAGAACATTCAACTGTAGTGGCCTGGCGTGAAACTGAGAATATGGGACTCAAAAGAGGCCACCATTAAGCCCAGTAACTTCATGCAAAAGCGAACGGTTGGGCAAATCCTGGACTGCAGGGTCCAAGCATGGGAGCTGAGAAATTAGGTCTTTTCCAGGGGAAGAAAGACCCAGGACAGGGTTGTGTACAAGACAAGGCCCTTCTACTTCATGCAATAAGAGAGTTCCATCAACAACCTTTGGAGATTCATGACCCATCCGAAGGTTTTACAAGTACCTCACTATCAGGATCTCTTGAGAGCAGAGCCTAAACAGGGGCCAGCACCTTGGTGAAAACCCAAGGTGCAGTAAACAGCCAGAATGGAAGGGGAACAAATTGGTAGTGTTGCTTTCCCACAGCAAAATGCAGGTAGCGCTAGTGAGCAGGGATGGGGAATGGGGATGTACAAATATGCATCCTTGATGTCCAGAGGGCAGAAAATGACCTGGTTGAAGGTAGTTAATGAGTGACCAGGTAGATTCCATACTGAACTTTTGGGCATGCAGGGACCTGTTGAGAATATTCAGATCGGGTAAGAGGTGAACCCTCCTTTTGTGACAGTGAACAGGTTGGAATAGAATCCCTGAAATGGCCCACTGAGAAAATATGTCTGTGAAGGTTCTCATTCATCCAGGTCATGATATATCTGTAAAAAAATAAGTCAAGGCAACTGGACTTGCTGTATTGTTCTTGAAAACGTTTCACTGGTCATCCAACCAACTTCTCTTGAGAAAGCTGGTTGGATGACTAGTGAAACGTCTTTAAAAAAAATACAGCAAGTCCAGTTGCCTTGACTTATTTTTTACAGGTATACCCACTCAATGATCGCTGAGTGTTTGCTCTCGCTTTCCTCTCTGACACGCTGTCACAGGAAGCTGAGCAAGCGGGGAGGAGAGCTCAGAAAATACAGTTTTCATTGTTTTCTTATCCTCATTTGCATCTTAGCATTGCGGATCTCCTTCAAGCTTTTTTAGCCACTTTAGCCTGTATAGATGCTCCAACTCAAACTATGGGTGCAAATCATTCCTGATTGTGACAATATTAGATCAAGCCTGTGCAATGTGTGTCAGCACAGCACCTTGCAGCCTCCACGAGGGGCGATTGTGACAGGGTGACAATGCCGGAACGCAATTGGAAGATCGTTATTCTGACACGTCCAGCAGTAAGATCAATATTATATACAGTTTTGATTTTTTTCCAGAATTGCTAAGGTCAGAACTTAAAATGTACATCCCAGTATTATCTGTATCTTGAACCTGTGTTCACTTCAAGGGGCATTCACCAAAAATTAACTGGTGTTGAAACAATCACTGTCATTTTAAACACTTGCACCTGGTAGATCCGCAGTAAATGTTTTGTGACTGTCAGCTTCACTGTGAAACTCGAATTGATTGTGGGGGTATGCTATAGACCCCTGAACATAAAGGATGAGACTCAGGTCTTCCCACAGATTGAATTGGCCGGGAAAAAGGGTAACGTTATTATAATGGGGGACTTCTATTATCCGGACATCATTTGGGCAAAAGGAGCCGCACACTCAACCAAGGCTTGCCTCTACAAGAACGTATTCAGGGACAGTTTCATGGAGCAGATGGTAGAAGTTCCAACTAGGATGAAATATTAATCTAATAATATCAAATAATACAGAGCTAGTAGCAGACATAGCAACTCAGGAGAACTTGGGTAAGGGCGTTCACAGGGTGATCACGCACGTTCACAGTAGGTTACTGAAAAGAAAGGCAAGTTGGTTTGACAAGAACACTAAACTTCAAAAGGCTAACTTCAACGAGCTGCGATCCTTAATCCAGGATATTAATAAGAGCAACTATTTATAACAAACACTGAGGCTTAGTGGACTTGCTTTAAGGATATACTAAACCCTTGGTTCTCAACTGGTGGGTCATGACTCCATGTTCAGTGGGTCGCTGCATGCCTTCCACTTTTCCAGGTAAAAGACTTCTCAGTCTCTTCCTAGCGCAACACAGTCAGTTCCCGCACCAAGCAGCATTCAAAACATGCGGTCCTGGACCGAGTGTCAGCTTGAGGTGGGGTGGGCTGGAGCTATGGCTGCGAGGGAGCTCAATCTATAGGTACATTGCTTACAGCTCCCTCTCATGCCCTGTAGAGGTGCATGGACCGGAGTGACGTCACATTCTGGCTCCCGCCCTCTACAGGGCGCAAAAAGGAGCTGTACAAGCAATGCTCATATGGCTGGAGGTCGGTCACAGCACAGAAGCCTGCACTGGACCCCAGGCTGAGGATCCACTCGTTATCGAAAATTAGGGAGACTAAGTGCATCTTAAAAAAATAAATAAATCATTTGAGTGTGTATATGCGAGTGAGAATGTCTGAGTGTGTGGCCCGTTCACACTAGTACAGTGTATATATTGCACAGTCTTGAGCGATTCATGCACCGCACCATGCAATCGCATCCACTGTGTGTTCTGGTGTGGGAGGTGCGTTGCCATTCATTTGAATGGTACCCCAAATGCATCTCCCATCCACAGTTCGATCGCCTGCATTATAACGCATAGTACCGCAATGCCGTGCGTTCCATTGCAGTGCGACTTGGATCACGACTTAATGACCAAGGACAAATGTGGGTCCTGAGGTTACACAGGTTGAGAACCACTGTTCTAAACAATAGCATTAGCAAGTGCATACGACTGGGCAACAAAAATTCAAGAATAAAAGCTAAACCTGCATGGAAGAATCCAAACATAAAACAATTTTTCAATAAGAAGTTGGCATTTAAAATATTATAAGATGGAAGGGTGTAAACATTAAAAAAACAAAAAACGAAAGCCTTAAAAGGGGTTCTAAACCCTCCGTTTTTTTTGCCTATATCTACTGCTACCAAGCAGTAGATATGGGCAAAACATTTTAAAAAACAAAAACCCCTTAAACAGCGGTT